ATGGGGACACCCGTGTGTGCGTGTGCGTCCCCGGGCTCTCACTCCGTGTTGTGCCCCGGCAGAACGTCCTGGCCGGAGCTCTCTTTGGGCCATGGACCGGGCTGGTGCTCTGCTCGGCCCTAACGTCTGTGGGAGCGACCTTCTGCTACCTGCTCTCCGACACGTTCGGGAAACACTTCGTCGTCCACTACTTTCCTGATAAAGTGGCTCTGCTGCAAAGAAAGGTAGGCAGGCACCCAGAACGGCCCCTGGATGAGGCTGTCTTTTGGGTTGACTTAGGGAAAAAAAGGAGTATGTGCAGGGGATGCGTCAGGTCAGGTGAGGGAGGAGAGTGCTCCCAGGAGCAAGCCTGTTCGCAGAGGGGGTGCGTGGAAAATCCCAGATCCCAAGGACAATCAAGAAGTAAGGTAATGGATTGCCTGGGAAGCCCCTGTGCCCCAGAACTGCCTCCACCCATCCCGTGCCGCGTTGTACAGCGGGAGGTGGTTCTGCTGCTACCTTCCCAAGCTCTCGTTCAGGTTAGATGCCTTTTTCACCACTTGCGTGGAAGGGGCTGCCTCACCGTTAGGCTCCCATACATACATAAAGTTGCCGCTTTTCATCAGTTCTGGACTGATACTGTGGCCGGTTAGAAGAAAACTTATATTCGCTTTAATATCATGGCCGTTCAGATGTTACTGGTGCCTGAGGAGCAGAAATAATTTGGAACGTTTCTCTCAAACAGGTAGAAGAGAACAGGAGCAGCTTATTTTTCTTCTTGTTGTTCCTGAGGCTGTTCCCCATGACACCAAACTGGTTTCTGAACCTCTCAGCTCCCATTTTAAACATCCCTGTGTCCCAGTTCTTCTTCTCAGTTCTCATCGGTAAGGCCTGGGGAGACTGTCTGAAGGGGCAGCATGACATTGCCTCTCCTCCTCACCGAGCCTCGGGTGGTACGCTGAGCTGGGGAGGGCAGAGCTCTCCCCCATCAAACTGTTTGCATTCGTGCCACCCTTACACTTGGAGGTCTCGGAGCATTTTGCAAATATGTGGGATGCTAACAGGCTTTTTTTACTCTAATTCTTTCAGGTCTTACACCATATAATTTCATCTGCGTGCAGACAGGAGCCATTCTGTCACAAATCACCTCGTTGGATGCCATTTTCTCCTGGGACACGCTGCTCAAACTGCTTGCGATGGCTGTGGTAGCTTTGATACCAGGGACCCTCATCAAGAAATACAGCAAGAAGCACTTGAAGCTGGATGAAGACAAACACCCTCCGTTACTCAATGGCAAAAAGAGCTTGTGAGGGCTCAGGTGCCCCAGACATTGGGGAACTGCCTCGCAAAAGCTGCGGGTCTCTCCTCTTGTGGGTTTTACTCTGCATGCTCTGCGCCACTGTGGAAAATTGCAGTTTTTAATCGTTCTTCTCATCTAAGAGGAGGTGTAAGGTTCTTATTTTTAATGAATGTTTAACTGTGCGTGTATCTGCACGGAGAGCACTATACAGGGGCTTTGTGAACACTCCAGTTAATGTGCCTGTTTCCTTTAAGTCAGCCTGTGTCTCCAGTGTGCCTGGGGGTGTTGCCAGCCCACCGCAAGTGGGGAAAAAGCAATGGAAAAAAAAAAATATCAGGAGTATTAGCATCCCCTGAGGAAGACAAACCAAAACCCTTATTAGTCCCCACAGGGGCCAAGCACTGCCCTGCCCACGGTCTCCTGCCCAGCCCAAGTCACAGGCTTCCCTGCACTTTCCATGGGTCTGGCTTTGTGAGCCCACCTGGTCTCCACGGTGTGACTGATGTGGCAGCAGAAAGCTGCTGCCTGCTCTGAGCACCAGGCATTCTGGTTTTCTGCCCAGCCTCATCCCTTGGCACCGAGGAGTCTGTAGCACACGGGGCTTTACTGAGCTGTAACAGCAGCTGGTTTTCATCACCAGCCATATTTCCCAGCTCTAGCCAGGCCCTCCTCCCCTCCCCAAACCCATACTTACTTAGCATTTTTGGCCTGAAATGACAAACCACGCACTTCTGGGCTGTTAGGTGCAGTAGTACAACTACCAAGTTGAGAAGATGTTTCAGGGTCCTTCCACCCTGAGCCTTCATAGATGTAGAAGACATTTCCTCTGTCGTGCAGCTGTTAAGTCAGCACACCCCGCAGCAAAATCGTTTTGGGGCCAACTATGAGCTGCCTGTACGTATCATTCATATGTCAGAACACACAAGATGGCTTCTGAGGTCTGTCAGTGGCTGCTCCTCCCCACGAAGACTGAAGGGGCAGGGGGGAAGGAAGGGATTGTGCCTGGCTGGCAGATTTGTCCTTGAGAAACACCTTTAAACCTCCACATTTGCTCGTGTGTAACTAGAAGGTTTCCAAATAAGCAGGTAGGTTCTGTCCCAGTTATGGGAGAACAGTAGCCCGCAGGGATGATATGATGCTGCTGGGTTTTTGGTATTTGTACCTACTTGCTCTACTCTCCTCCACTTGGAGGATAAAGTAAACTTTTTGGCATGGAAGGGGGCAGATGGGAGACTCCAGAGCACTCGGGAAGCTGACAGAGTGAGCGCTTCATCCATTTTAGCACCTTCTCCAGCAGCAGGGTTGGACCTGAGTGGGACAGCAAGGTCCCCGGGATGGGAAGTTGTGGTTGCAGATTCAGTGCCCCAGCTCTCATCATTGCAAAAATCACTCATTTGACAAGAGCAAAGGCCAACGCTCAGGGACACCTGGGTGCTCAGTAGAGCTCCCAATAGTTCCAGTTCAGCCGTGTTCAGAGACAGGTAACAACAAACTGCTCACAAACATCCTGTTAGTTTTTAAAAGGCTTCATGACATTATCCCAAAGTAGATGAGAAACCATTCCCAGATCACCAGACCAGCCCAAAAAGCATTGAAGTACACTGGCTTTTTATTCCATGCATTGTTTGCTTTGATAGTCATTCTTGTTTCCATCACTGTACACTGTTCAATACAAAAAAAATCAAGTTTGTATCAGGAATCCGCAGAGCAGGGAGGAGAGAGATGAACACTACTGGACAGGGCCAAGATGAAATGGTTACTTAACACGACAGTGGGGAAGGCAACGTTCAGCTCTGGGAGAAAATCTAGGCTAGTGTTCAGGAGCTGTCAGCAGCCACGAGAACGGGATCAGGAGAGTGGGGATGCTGAAAAGGGAACCCACGGTTTACTTCTGTCCTGCGAATGCGGTGTCACCGCGAGCGCAGCCCAATTTACACCCCTCAGCCCTGTACCCTGCTCGGAGGGAAAGTGCGAGGAACTGCAGCAGAGGCACCCGTACAGCAACATGGAGATGACGTCTACGTGCAGTTCTGGCTCGGTTTCACTAAGGAAAATGCCTATAGAACACCCCGCAGAACTGACAGCCACCCTCCCGGGAAGGTGGGGGGCTGCCGAGCCACCCCTGCCCGCACAGCCGAGGGCACCAGATGTGTGCGCAGGGGGAGGCTGGGATCATTACGGCTCCACAGATAGAGGGTTACGCGTTCAGGCAAGGGGGGGCAGCCCTACTGGGGGTCCCAGAGGGACACTGCGTAGTAGGCAGCAGTTAGGAGGAGCGACGCTGGACTGTAACTGTGCAACGACCCGGGCGTGTAAAGAAACATGAGCTAAGTGTGGCAGCAGGCAACCTGAAGGGTTCAGCTCTGCTTTTCCAGGCTGCAGAACGGGCCAGTGTGTCCCCAGGCAAGGACGGGGAGGAATCAGCACAGACCCAGGACAGCTGGCCCAGAAGGGTCCCAAAATCCTGCACATCAAAGCTTCTATGCTTCTCTGCAAGCCCAGGGGAGCTTCCTCACATGGTGGAGGAGCTCTAAGCAGAGACCACAGCTATCAAAACCCCACCGGGATCTTTTCGTTAGGGACTGGATCATTGCAGACCAAAGTCCCTGCACAGAGGCTCAGCCTGAGCCCGTTGCTGTAGGGCTGCCCTAGGACACCAGAGCTGCCCAGAGGGAGCGGGCACCGCAGGGCCACGCGCTGGGTCGGCATCGCACTGCCCACGGCAGCCAACAGCCCTGCCTCTTGGAGCTCGGCAAGCCTGCCAGATCCGAGCGGCAGAGTCTCTCCCGGGGCATCAGGGCCTATCCTTCCACACCATCCTCTGCTCTGGGGGACGTTTGATGGTAGTTCTCAACCTCTCTTTATGTAATAGTTTGGTCTTCCTCTTTGTGTGCCTATGTTACGTGCACACAGATCTCCGCTGCTAAATTCCCGCACCCTGGCCTCCAGCCTCCCGAGCAACCACCTGCACCGCCTCTTCTGCACCAAAACCCCTCTCACACCATGACAGCAAAGCCACCTCTGGCCCTGCCACCTCCTCCTGCCACTGGCCGAGGGACAGAGAACATTTGGGAGGAGAAACAAGGGATGGGAAGAGAGAGGAAACGAGAAACAAGCCAGGAAAGAGCTTCACTCCCCGCGGCATTCTGCCTCCGCCCAGAGCTGAGTATTGCTGCTGCAGGCAGGGGTGAGCTGGTCGCTCCCTCTCCAGCAGCCTGTTTGGTCCCGCACGGGTGATCCATCACGTGGATCCACTGCTGGCCACCCCTGATCTCGTACCCGCTGCCGGAGCAATTGCCCTCCTCTCTGCCTGTCCATTTGGATGCTCTTGCCAGGGGATCTCGTGATGGTCATTCAACTTTGTGATCAATTCCAAAGCCACTCGCTCCCTGATCACCATTCCCCACCGGCTCAGGGACTGCCAACACGAGCAAATTGCAGCATTGACCACGAGGAATATCACAGGGCCCACGGGGCTGACTGCATCCATCCCTCTCGGACCAGCCTCGGCAGGTTCTCTGCCCTGGTATAACAGCATCCTTGGAAATCAGGAGAGGGAGCAACTACTGACAGCCGCTGAGACCAGCTCTGCTCCCATCCCTCCCAGCGACCAGCAAGAAGGTAACATCACACAAACAGATTACAATTGTGCTAGCGGTGAAGCCAACCTTCTGATCTACAGAAATGATAATAAATAATAAAATAACATCATAACTTAAGATCTGTGTGTAGTCCAGCTACAAAAATTTAAAAATATGGGATAATTTAACTCATACAATACTGCTCTCTGTATAAGTAAGACATTTTCCTTCATTTTGCCATGAGGCTATAAATTACCACAGTTAAATTCAAACCAATATTTTAACATAAAATGTAAACAAACAAAGCAACAGAAGTACCTGTCCATGGTCCATTCCTGCCGTTCATCTCAGGCTGGTGTGCCAGTCTGCAGAGCAGCACCCAGCACGGCCGTGCACCGCACACGCGTGGCACAGCCGCGCCAGCCAGCACGCTAGGAAGGGCAGAGTGGGGGCTCTTGCAGGGGGACATCGACTAAGGGGAGGGGATGGGGGGAGGGAAACGTGCTCTATCGTTTTGTTCTCTTTAAATATTGATTTAGAAGAGTAGTGTTTGAAGGGAAGGCACTATGAGTTCTATCATAAAACAAATTTTTCTCATCTGCCAATGCCTCGGCCTGTCACATACCAGTCCTATCCTCGCTTTCACCTGCAGAGTTTCAGCTTGAAGGAGAAACAGAGGCCTCAGGGTACGCCCCAGACACAGCTGTGCCACAGCCACCGTCGAGATTCCCCCTGCAACCTGTTCTGCACAACGCCTGACAGGAAGGGCAGGCAGCTGTTAACGTTTTCAAGAACGTACAGTGAATAAGGAGACAGAGCGGGGCTGATGCTCTTATCTAGGCCAGCAATTCTCAGTCTTCCCCCTCAACACACAGCGCTCTGCTGGTTATCAATGCTGTTGTAGGGGACAGACTGCTTCTCCAAGTCCAGTACAGGCATCTCCGGTTTCCTCCCCAGAAGAGTGCTCGGGCTCTGCAGAATGTGCTTTCCACGGTTTGCGAGTTCTTGCTTTTCCAACACTGATTTGATTGATTTCTTTGACTGACTGAAACAGACAGGAGGTAAGAGGAGGAAGTAAACTGGGAAATGGCACACTGCATCTGAAAGAGGTTCCCCTGCTCAACTGGAGATCGACACTGCCAGAGTGAAGCAAGGACGATGTTAAGAAGTGCTCTTATACCAATTCTCAAGAGGACGAGGTTAGAATACATTTGCAGGATCTCACAACAAAATGCTGATTAAAAAAAGAAACTAAAAATCCTTAAAATAAAACCCACTATTACATTCCTGGGGATGTATCGACTCAGAAGACCCTGGATGTTAGCACCTCGGCACCAATTTTCTCCAGGAACATGTCCACCTTCTGATTAAAAATGACCCAGCTGGTTATACTGAATACGCTTTGTTCACAGGTTACCCTACAGTAAGGTCTTTTTATGCTTCCTCATTTGATAAGACTGAGTGGTTTAGTTTTCTTGATCTGTTCTCCAATCTTCAGG